TGGGTTATATATAGGCCAGGATATAAACCACCTAGAATTCATGGGATGCCAAGTACAGAAGCTCCAACTAACAGCTGAACCATCGAATCAAGATGAAGCCATCCAACCTGCGGCCCTTGCCATCGTCAGGTCGATTTCAGTGCTGGGGTGCTAGACGAATGATATTCAATAGTATTGCAATGATACCATTGATATACATGGATATACCCTCTGCTTATTTCACATAGCCATGGTTAAGCCATGGCCCATAGAAATAGATGGTTTACCGTTCTTAAAAATGGTGGATCTTTCCATGGCTATGTTAATCATAACCAGATGGTACATGGATATACTCTTTTCGTACGATGTCATGGGGTGTGTCAGATGGGGACATCGTATCTAGGAATCTCTGTGAAACCGACAGCGGTATTCGAAGATCGGTGCGTTTCCCTATGTCATATGGAGGTGTAAAACCATAAAGCCCAACACAATGCGGTGATATATATATATATATGAACAACATTTCTCTATATATATATAATGATGCATAACAAAATAAATAAATAAATAAATAAATATATATATACACGTAGAATGATTACAATTACAATTGATGGATAAGAGAATATGGGTTTGTGCCCGAAATGAAGGATAGCCCAAGTTATTTTTGGCTCCGTCATGTGGAAACGTTCGTTTCTGATATCCAGACTGTTTGGGGATCGTATCGATATTGTACTTATATACATATAATTGCATATACATACACACATGTATGAACAGTAAATATCCAATTTTATCCAATGGCAAAATCTGCAAAACCAATGTCTGCCTTGCTTGGTCGACTTAGGATATGGTTTGTGGTTTCAAATTTTCTCGGCATTTGAATCTAGCTGTACCAAACTGGACAATTTCATTTTTTTTGTGCTTTCACATCTTGTGATTTGGTGAAACTTACCATACTGGACAATGGATACTGAACTCAAATGAACTCAAATGAAACTCGGGATGAGCGATGATTGCATCTCTTCAAAAAGAAGAACCTGCCGAAGAAACCCTTGTGTAAGGTGATGGATTTGTTCCTGGGGACAGCACCAGATTCAAGTGACCGCCAGCATGGCTGGTTGCGCATAGGGTTTCTGGAGTCTAAAAATGGTTTCAGGAACTGCACGGTTAAGGGTTAAGAGTGCAAGGGAATTGATGCTATGATGTGTGCTAGGGTCAAGTTACATGGTAGTTTGTGATAATCTGATAATCCCTCTCATTTCAAAGGAATACATACATAGTGGGTATATAAATCCTTAATGACAGTAGATTGGCGAATCCAACTAACTTGATCATGGCGAAACCACGGAGCTTCCGTTGGGCCGGTTATCTCAACATTAATTCACCGATCAATTCACCTATCATGTTACCGTGGAATAGCTTAACACAGGGTACCAACCTACAGATTGGCTAGCCATTTTTTGTTGGATGATTTTGAGGCATACAAACATGTACCATGGATCCATGGCACAATTTCCAGAGCCACTTTCAACTGCGTGTGCCAATGACACATGCTGTTGGAGTTCAACCCCTTTCCGTGAGTTGGACATGTAGGACACGTTTCGTGGTCGGATGTGCACCACTTTCAGCCCAAATGGATTTTCAGCGGAGGGGAACGAATGGACGACTTTCCCGCAATCTTCACCATCGAATTTCATGGTGCAAATCCAACCAAAATCCAACCAGAATGCCTCGATACTGGCGCACAAAGCCTCCAGTAGCCATGGATCGCTGATCCGCTTTGCCACCAGCGCAAAATAGAGCTCCGGGGGGGCCAGCGAAGTCGGGATCTTAGCTGTTTCGTCACTCGCGTGCTGGCACCCAGCACTCGCGTGCCAGCACTCGCGTGCTCAGCACTCACTCCAATGCATTTTTCCCGGTGTGCATCCTAGTAGATATGTTTATCTTGATTTAGATAGTGGATGCTTTTATTGGAATAGGAAAAATGCATTGGAGTGACGATAGGCATGAGATATCATGAGATACCCATCACATTCATGAGAGCCGCACGAGTACCTCCAAGTGGCGTTGATTTTTTCAACACCCTGAAAGAAATTACCCTTTTTGAGGAAACTGGGAAACCCCAGATGCTTTTTTGGGAAGCGCAAAATGCATCCGGACGTCAGGCAGATATTCGCACGTTACTGGATGCTTTTGCCACAGAAAAGTAAATGCACCGAGGTCGGAATAGGATAATAAAACCCCATGCGTTTCAAACTTGCGATTTACTAGCCCTTTAGGGTCTAAAATTTGTATGGATGCTTTTTTCGGATCTAGTTAAATGCATTTACATATATCACAATGCTAAAAACCCACTGCGTGACGAACCTGCGTGCTAGCACTCAGCGTTGCGCGTGCTGCGTGCTGGAGCTGCTAAGGTCGGGATAGATGATCGGTATGAAACGTGAGACACTCCAAAAAATTCAGTAAATTAAGATCCTTCAGTAAATTAAGATAGATGTGGACAAGCCACCATGAAACGTAGATCCTTTTCGACTTGGACAGCCGTGGATGACTTCACGTCGTCCATTTCATTGGGTAACTCTCGTAGGAATTCGCCTTTGTTTTGATTCGCTAGTTACGAACCACTGATCCTTATTTGCCAGGAAGCACTATCTGGTTGGTGGTTTCAAACATTTTTTATTTTCCATAATATATGGTTTAATCCTTCCCATTGACTTTTTTTTTAAAGATGGTTAAAACCATCAAACAGCTATATATTTGTTGAATGCTTCCTGCTTCAATTTGACCCGACATTTCAGACACCCCACTCCACAAGCAATCTTTGAGTTAAAAAAGATGGATTTTTGAGGCGTACCACATCTAAATAGGGATGTAATTTTCTATGAAAATAGGGACATCCGTGAAACCCAATAGTTTTAGAGAATCCTATTCCTTATCAAGATCGACATGCAGTGGGGCACAGTTTTTTTGGACAGTAGAAGGTAGTTCCTAATATGTTTGATGGTGATTTTTCTTGAATCCTAAAAGCCTGGTTGTGTAAAATGTTCAGTGCTTCCGAAGCAGCATCTGGACCGCATCTAGAAATCATGCGGATACCCGAACTGGGTCTGAAGGCTGAGAATTCTCGGACAAGTCGGGTGGTTCAGCTTCAAGGCCCCCAAATGAGATGCTTCAAGAGATGTGTTTACTGCTCCATGCTAATCCTACAGGATGGGGCCCCCAGTCGATAGCGTTCAGTTGCCTGAAAAAAGTGGCTGAAATCGATTGGGTTTATGGTAGATATAACGAACTAGTTCATGGGGGTTATTTCATGGTTTATAAACCAACAAACATCACTGGGGGGCTCCATCCTGTATCGCCATATCTTCCGGGCACCGCAGGCACGGCGATGGCGCAGCTGGTTGGTTTTCCGTTTTCCCCAGTGTTGCCGATACATTTTCCCTGGAAAACCTATGAAAGTTTGGAGTAACCTGCTTCCGCCATGTACAGGAAGGGGCCCCTTAAAAGAACCAGTGAGTTGGTTTATGGAAAACTGGGCTGGAAAAAATGATCGTTAGATGGGTATACTTAAACCGACTTCCTGGGGGCGCCTTCCTGCATTGACCAATAAATTTGATGTTTTTCATGTTCAGATTATAGAATGTAAATAATAAATGTTCACTATTTTTTTTCTTCACTTTATAATGTTAAGATTATAGAATGCAAATCAACAAGTTAAATTTGACATGTTACATCATTCAGCCGGGTATCAACCTATCTGAATTCGCGCAACTAACACTTACCCATTGGTATTTGGAAAAAAGATAGAGTCACCCCCAAAATGATAGAACAGTGATTCACCACTATTTTCATGGGATTTACAACTTTTCGGCATCTAAATCAGGGGGTTACTGTACAATCTAAATCAGTGCAGTCTCATGTTCGCTTTATAAGAACGGTAAATATGGCCAGCTGGGCAACCCCCGAACTAAATGGAGGATTTAAGCGGAAAATCAATGAACGAAATGGCGGAACAACCTACATTCCACTAGTATTCCATTCGTGTTCCACCAATATTCCCATTCTATACCCATTGTATGACATTTATAGATGCTGGCGGTACAATGGCTTACAACCAACCTATTAATCAGTCAACCAACTCTATTGCCCTGCCTCTGGATCAAGACATGATACACTGGATGTTCACCCCCCAATTGGGCCCACAAGAGAAAAGAAAATTATAGGTTGTTACTGAGTAACTGGCAATCATTTGCTGGTTTGTTCTGGAAGTTGCTGCACAAAAATCTGACCTTGCGATCAACCTTTTCCCCCGTTCATACGATACTCAACTGATGTTCTAATAAAAAATGAGAACATCCCGTTGTCATGTCTGGTCACCAGAAGGCATTCACCTTTATTTTGGGAGCCAAAATGCCAACACCACATTTTCTGTTTGTTCTTTTCTCATCCATCAGCAATTTCTCTCGCGATGAACGGCAATAGAGGAAATATGAGAAAGTGGTGTTTGTAAAAGATGAAACCATCGCACTGCAGATCTGTTTTATCCACCATAAACCTTAGTCGGCCTAGCTATCAACCGGCTTAATCACCTTAGCTAACAAGCTGCAGCATGGCTGATCTCACTTTTCGGCTCAAATAATGGGATTATAGCCTTTAACGGTCATAGATTTTCAAGGTATATCATTGGGGTTCATCATTCATGTACAGATCCTTAGTGAAGGCATGGCAATCACGTGGTCGCCCCTACTGTCCCGCCCAGTAACATGTCCAGTAACCCAAACATGTGCAAAGGACGTGTTTGCCAAACATGTCCCACGAAAAGTTCTACGAAAGGAAAACTAGCAGAAGATTCAAATACGCAACCCACCAAGCCCAAAAAATCAGTCCACAGAATGGCAAGATTTATCATGTAGATCTGTAGATCCAATAAATTTTACTTGGTTTGCCTTTGGGGGTATTTTTCACAGGGAAACACGTCGCAAAGTCTCTACACCATCCCACGTTGAACTCATCTCGTTGACGTCGTTTTGAAACGCCATGGATGGCCGACACATGGTACGTGAAGTGGGCGTCGCGGGTGTCCATGGTCCTGGACTGGGAGTGGTCCCATCAGCATGTGTTGTATGATATATCACAACATTACATGTAAATATTTGTAATATATAATTAATCACATATACACATAGTTATTATGATAATAGTAACACAAAGAGTTATTATGCTAATCGTAGTGATGATCTAATGGAATATTACACATATTACAGTATATATGTATTCGAAACACACATATAACATATATATATATAATGTAATATACATCCACCACATTCAAACCTGTTCAGCAGTGATTCAGTGATGTTCCTCCATTTGGGTGAATTGGAAACGAGTTCACTGGCACACGTTGCCATTGACTGAACAAACAAGATGAGCGAACATTTCAGGTTGGTTAATTGATATAATTCAGCCAAAGAATCCGGATGTCCCAGTCAAGGATACTTTCGAGTTAATTGTGCTTCTGATTTGCTGCAAAGTGGAAGTAACCCTGGAGTTCCCACTTTTGTAACTGGAGCCTGAAGCAACGGATTGCATTGTGTTTTTCCACAGACTTTGAAGGAGTACTGGTGCATGTAGGAGTTTCATCCTTCTGGTAATCAATTCAGGCAATAGAAAGTCACCGATTCCCATCTACTCTCTGGTTATTCAACGTAGCGGACTTAAAAAGTCACAATTTTCAACGGATAAAGCATAGTGAATCATAATATATATATATGTATAAATGGACCACTTTCCATAGCTACTATGCTAAAGAACCAGATGGTATTTATTGACCATTTTCTCATCCAGAGTTGGGATTTCCCAGGGCCACTGAAAATTTCAACATCCCTTTGGACTGCAATGCTTGAATGACATATGGACGGAACTATGTCCAACAGTAGACAACTAGGTAGTGGATTCTCCAAAACAGGAACGGCAAAATCGTAGCTTTGCCGACAAATTTATCCATTTGAATCAACATGTTTCTGTTCTTTTCTTGTAAAAATTCCAGTCATGTTTGATTTACAGAGGTTGCACGCGCCTAGCATGTTACCTAGAAGGAACATGGGGTTTCTTATTGGGGGACCCCCAAACCACCATAGGTTTTAATACTAAGTCATGGTCATCCATTTTCCTTGATGCGGCCCTGGGGGTACTCTCCATGATGAAGCGGAAAGCTCCACATTTCCAGCGAATCGCAGGAGACGACTTTTGGGATCTTCTCAGACGCTTGGGAGATTGCTATGTGAACGACCTCCAAAACCGAGGCCCGGCCCTGAACGATGAATTGCTGGTGCTGGCTGCTAGTACCTGCGTTTATAAACCAGTTATAAATGAGATACACTAAACCCCAGATATAGATAGGTATAGTATGTACATGTATGTGCTCCATATATTTATGAAATTTTTATGAATAGTTATTAATATGTGTATAATATAAATTATATATCTAGCTGAGTTCTTGAGTGCCGGACATCCGCTGGTACGACTATCTCGTGGATCTGCCACAATGTGGGGAAAATGTTTACGGGGAACAGATGGTGGTGCCCCAGTTCGTTAGCTAACTTGGTGTATTAAAGTCCAATAGCTCCAATAGCTATGGTTTATAGTGCTTGAAAGTAGACTTAGCTATTGTTTGAAGCTACAGTTATCTAGGGTTTATGAGGTTATATCTATAGTGTTAATAGGGATTATAAACCAACTTATAACCTGGGTACCACCTTGTAGCTAAGTTGGTGAACATAACTCCAAGAACTATGTTTTAAAAGGATGTTTATGGTACTGTACGTAGAACTATAGTATTCATGGGGTTTGAAACCAACTTATGGCGGGGGGGTGGCCACTTTCTATCAGATTCTATCCTCACTGACCACGTACATATCCACCCTCCAGCAATTAAACATGGCTTGCTAGAATATTCAACCATTTAGTCATGGTTCCCCCATCCAAAAAACTCCAATGTCGTTTTTTTGGTTGTTTTTCTTAATCACTAATACAATTACATCACCTATAGTGTCACTCACAGTCCTTACTTTTTGAATTACTACATAATAATATTGTTATTATATCATCACTATATCCAACTGATGTCACTCATGATATTATCACTTCACTTGTGATTATAATGTCAGAATTGTGAACACTATGACATCATCATACGTAGGATTAGTATGTGTTATTATTATGTAATAACATGTAAGAATTATAGTGTAACTATATTGTTCATTGTGACAATGACAATGATGCAATTCTGACTGCACCAGAATTATATGATAGTGACTAAAGCTATACTTTTAGCTACACTTGTAAAACAATAGAAAGAACTATACAATTTTGATAACTTTTTTTTAACTCATCATTGATATATTAGTGATATCTAATATATATATATATATATATACATATCATATTATTAGTGCTGCAATCCTGTAACACGTTAATAAGTGCATTAATTTCTGTAATAATGATACCAACATCGTTATCGCTATATTGTCACCACATTGTCACTATGACAATGACATTCAATAATACAACTACAAGCAGCATGTAAAACACTATCTTGTCACTGTATTCATGATCGTTCATGTTTTATATATGACTCAAAAGTATATACATATATGATCATATATGCATATATATATATATATGATAATAGCGATTATGATATTAACATTCACAACATCAGAATAATGATCAACACTATACTGTATAACTAGAGACTACCCTCCCCCAAATGAACATGAACCCTGCGAAAAAGGGGGTTGAGAGATTACTTTTCACTGAAAATAGATGGTTTTTGGGGTCAACTTGCTTAATCTACTGGAGGGTATATATTGGTTTTACCATCTGGTTATTTAACGTAGCTATTAGAAATCACCATTTTGGATAGGTAAATCAAGATTTCATCATCTATA